TCAAGTCCTTTTAGTGTGCTGTCAAGACGAATATTCCACGCTCTTAGGGCTTGTCGTAATCCATAAAAAGACTTGTGTAATTTATACACAAACTTTTCCTTTCCTGTGACAACAAAACCATCAGGTTGGGATACATATACTTATTTATGTATAATGCCATTCAAAAATACCAACTTTACGTCCAAATGGTGGACACGCTATCCATGCGAAGCTTCCAATGCCAACAACAACCGTATTGTTTCAAGTCTAGCCACCGGTGCAAACACTTCCTCAACATCCACTCCTTTTCTTTGTACATATCCCTTTGCCACTAACCTTGCCTTGTGTTTCACAATATTTCCTTCAGCATTTTTTTTAAATAATTTAAAAACTCATTTCAGTCTGATGGGTTTCTTTCATGGGGGAAATGTTGTCAATTTCCATGTTTGATTTTTGTTTATGGCATCAAGTTCCTTCTGCATCGCCTTCTTCCAATTTGCATCAGTAGACGCCTCTTGGAACGAAGTCGGCTCCTCTCCAACAAACATCAATTCTTCTCCTTCATCCTTCACAACATCTGAATGTGCATAAATGTCTGAAATAGAGTGAAACCCACGAATGGGTGTGTGATCGAAAGCTATCTGACTCGCTTTTTGGCTACCATAAGATGCCTGAATCAATGGACTATCTCTGGAAGCTTAATTCCTTAAGGATTCTGCACTTCTCGTCGTTGATAACAATGGGGACTGAGCATTAGTAGTTTCGAATTGATGTATTGGACTTTCAACTCCATCAGCAACTGAAAATTGATTCGAGTATCACCTTCATCACTACCAGAAATTTGCACATTAAACCATCCAAAACTTGTGCTTGATTGAGTGCTCTTCCCTTTACTCCAATTCCATTTGGTTTTTTCATAAAAGATTACATAACGTGCAACATATACCTTATTTCAAAGAGAGTCATAGAGACGATAGCCTTTGCTACAAGATTCGACTCCCAAATAAATCATTTTTAAGCTTCGATCACTCAATTTTGTTAAGTGAATTGCTGATGCCTTCACATGCGCAATGCAACCAAAAGTTTTGACATGTTCAAGAGATGGTTTCTTTCGCTTCCAGCCCTCATTCGGTGTCATACTCTTCAAACCTTTTGTCGGAATTCTATTTAAAATTTGCATTGCATGTCGGACTGCTTCTCCCTAAAAATTTTCTGGTACACTCATCGCCTTTAACATGGATCTCGTTGTTTCAAGAACAGTTCGATTTCAATGCTCCACAATCCAATTTTGTTGTGGGTTGTATGGTGCTGAAAGTTGACTTTTTACACCCTCTTTATCATAGAATCCGTTGAATTTTTGTGATGTGAATTCACCTCTTCGGTCAGTTCTTAGCATTTTTAGTTTATATGTGCTTTCACTCTCAAACTGTGCCTTGAATTTCTTGAATGCCGGGAAAGCCTCATTTTTTGTTTTGATAATGTAAATCCACATAAACCTGATATAGTCATCAACAATTAGCATAAAATAATTATTTTCTCCCAATGTTTGTGGTGATATCAGTCCACACAAATCTGCATAGACTAGTTCCAATGGGGATGAAGCATGATACTCAGTTTCCTTTGGAAAAGGTTGACGAGTTTGTTTAGCCACCAAACACCCCTCGTAGACTTGTTTTGGGTGCTTCACTCTTGGCACACCACGCACCATATTTTTCTCAACCATCGAATCCAATGTTCCAAAGTTTATATGACCGAGCCTCGGATGCCATAACCATGTTTCATCTTCGAGACTTATGGCAGGAAAAATTGCTTTTATGGTCTTAAGATTAATCTTGTACACACGGTTTTCGACCGTTGCACCTTCATGATCAATTTTCCATGTTCATCATGCACCTTCAAGTGTTCGTTCAGCATTTCTACCTTGTATCATTCCTCTGTTAATTGCCCTAAGCTTAGATTATTACTCCGCGAGGCTGGAATGTAATACACTTCATAAATAACTTTGTGTTCGCTATTTTTGCACTTTAATAAGATGGATCATTGTCCTTCAATTTGTACTTTGGACCCGTCACCAAAACAAACTTGACCTATTATCTCCTTGTTAAGTTCAACAAAAAGATTTTTTTCCCGTCATATTGTTGTTTGCACCATTATGTAAGTACCATTCGTCATCGCCATTTCTTTCACTCTGATCTGGGAGCACTTTATCTTCATTAAGCAATACCTTAGGTACTGTGTTTTCCCCGTAAACACTTAAAAGTGGTGTAGGATCCTCCTCTTGTGCTTGGGCTAAATTTACTTCATTGTTTTTCTTCTTCGGCGATGACTTGCATTTTGACGCATAATGCCCATATTTTTCATAATTAAAATATTTTATATGGCGCTTGTCTCTGCCCCGGTGTTGATTATACCCGGAATCTCGAGATTGTATAAAATTACCATGTTCACTTTTTCCTCGTCCACCTCCGCTACCTCGACCACCATACTGGCTGCCTTTATCGTGATGGTAAGATCCATGTCCTCTTCCACCTGATACCCAACTTCCTTCTGAAATATTCTGATTTTTTTGAAAATTTGTCTTAGTGAGTAATAAACTTCCCTTATTGCTTGTATTTCCACTACGAAGCTTCAACCGATCTTCATAAGCTTTTAGTCGGCCGATAGCTTCTTCGAATGGTATAGTATCTAAGTCGCAACATTGTTCAATTGAATAAATCAATTGTAAATACGTGTCCGGAACTGAATCAAGAAGTTTCCGAACAAGTGTATTGCCTTCAATTTTTGAAACAAGATTATTAAATTTTGATACCATGGCGCTCAAGTTTCCAGCAAATTCATCTATCGTCTCACCTTCTTTCATTCAAAGCCTTTCGAGACCACTCTTCAGCGTATGTAGTTTTGCCCTTTGCACCCGATCGGCTCCAAGATATCTTGTTTTTAATGCCTCCCAGATTTCCTTCGAGGTTCTCTTCTTCGACACTTGTAGAAGGATGTCTTTTGGAAATGCTTGGAATATGAAAGCTCTAGCCATCTAGTTCCTTTTATCGCTCACCGCCTCTCCGGCCGGTGGTTCGATGGAGTCCCAAATCCCCTGAGCATCCATTATGGTTTCCATCTTTATCGCCCATGTCGTATAATTTTTCGGAGTTAACATGGGACATTGAAACGGGATTGAACCACTCTTCTTTCCTCCTACTTCTATCGATATATTTTTCAGTTTGAGATACTTGGACATCAACTTGGCTATGATACCAAGTGTTAGAAATTAAATTCACAAAGATACGGGAATATACAAAAACAAATCTGAATGATTTCTGTGATCAAAGATAAAAAAAAAAAAAAGACGGATACACTTCTCTGGTAATCATACAAACATGAGTATGTAATACATTCTACAACACCCATTGTCACAATCTTATAATTCTAACAAAAAGACAGTTTTGAATTTGAATTCTAACATAACTACCTAGGAAATTAATAAAATAAATAATGACAAATTATAATCTTGTACTAGAAAAAAATCGCCCCCGACACTGATCCCACAATTATCCCCATGATCAACCGACTGCAACGATGGTCTTTAGCCTGTCCAGAATCTTTCTGGTGAAATTCGCGGTGGAAGCATGTTGAAAATGGTGACTCTGCTCTTCGTGGACAATACAAGTCACGCTGCCAATTTGTTCCTACGCCACTTTAAAAAATTAGAACAACAAAAGCCACCAGAGCAATATGCAGAGGCCAACGTGCACCATGGCTGATCAAAACTTGCCACGCTGGGTAAGAGATGCTGGATTTTTCTCCTGCCATGACTCTTACAAAAGTAGAACTTTTGATTGTTGGGTATTTTGAATCGGAAGGGTAAAAAGAGTAATGACTTGGATATTAGTATTGGATCGTGTTTAAATACACTTTCCAAAAGTTATATTTTGATCATACTATCAAAATCAACTTCATGGGATTATACGCTCTTAAAACTCAAAGATTTTAATGTATAAGAAGAATACTATAAATAGCTGCAGAGAATAATAACTTTTATGTGATTCCATATTGTTAATCTAATCTCCTTCAGAATTACAATCTAATCACTTTTTTTTTTATTTCAAGTCTCACCCATTATTTATAGAATTGAAATGGTAGAAGATTGTAATGCAACTTTTAAGATAATAAATGCAATTTTTCAATACGATTTGATTTTTCATAGTGTTGGTGCAATTCTTCATATGATTTTTAAGGATTGATCCAAATCTTTTAGAAATTTACTAAATTTCTCCTTATGGTTTGATTTTGAAACAGCCTTCCACAATCTGAAGCTGACTGGGAAACATATTATCCAGAGATTGAACTTTAAGCATATCTTCATTCGTCTTGACAATGATGAGGACTTTACTCGTATTTGGTCGATAGGGATGTGGTTTGTCAAAGGCTTTCCAATGAGGGTCCTGAAATGGTCTCCAGACTTCACACCGAAGGTTGAACCTCATCAGGTTGTTGTCTGGATATCATTGCCACTACTTCCTCACTACCAAAAAAATGGCCATTTGTAGCGGTTTTAAAATCGCTACAAATGGCAATTTTTCGTTATAAAAAGCTATTTGTAACGATTTTGTACCGCATTTTGACCGGTGCATATACTCGAGCTGCAAAAAGCCTCTGTACCGACTTTTTCCGTAACAAAAAATGGACGGTCAACGCACTTATAAAGCACGTGGGAAATCTTGTTGTAACGGTTTTTGTAACGCTAGCATTGTGTTTTTGATTTATTTGTAGCGGATATTTCTCGTAATAAAAGACTCGTTACAATAAATTTTCATCCATTTGTAACGACTTTTGTTACGGTATAAATTTCGTTACAATTGCTAGTTGTCAGAAAACTATTTTAAATGACACTCATACTTTTTGTATCGGTATTTGTAATGGCTACAATTTCGTAACAAACAGAGTATTCTTGTTTTTTCAATAATACCAAAAAAATTAGTATCGAAACCGGAAAATTTGTACAATGCATGAAAATATTGCGAAATGACTATAAAATATAAAAATATTACAGAAAATCTTTATCACCATCAATTGCATCAAGTACGCACTGTCTAAAAACATAACTATTTCGCAATACAACATAACATATACGGCGAAACATAGCAACAAACACAGAAAATGCAAGTTCAACCAACGGAAAGGACTCAGTCACCACCAATCTACAAACAAAAGTTAATCATCATAGTATCATGTGTCATGCTGCAACATCCTATGCAATATCAAAGGGAACATACATGACAGTCAGGTCGTCTTCGTGTTGCAATAATGCTTGTCGTCATGGTACCTCGTATGCGTCCACTCATATGTGCCCCATTCTCGAGACCCTACACTCATAATTCATATGGCTCTAAATATAATAGTTTAGAGACATTTACAATTAAATATGTTAAACATAAATTTACCATTTTCATTAACTGATTTTCTAGAACCTGGCTTTGTTGTCTCATATGGTATTGGTAGTGCATAAGAAGTAAACCTGCACAAGGGCAAAGGCTGAATTGTGCCATGCAATCGGCTGAATTAGGTTTTTTTTTTCTAGAAAAAGAGGTATTGATTTCTGAGTCCTCTGTTCCCATATTATAATGAAAAAGAATTTTGACAAAAACTAAGCTCTTGCAAATATGAAATAAAAAAAAAAAGAATATTCAACAGATGAAAAGATACTGGAAAAATAGTAACAAATAGGAAAACGGTTGTGCAATGATAAGATTCATACAACCAGGTGCATAACCAAACACATGCTTTTTATGGTGGTATAGATCTATTATATCTAGTTATCACAACAAATTTTTACCAAGAACTATCACTTTATGATGAACCAGTTTCCAATCTAATTCAAAATTATAACTATAACTACAACACAAATTTAAGTTCATGTAGCAAAAGAATTTGAAAGAACAAAGGGCCAACCAAATTTAAAAAGTAGATATGGCAAAAATATGATAACCGCCATTTTTCACAAAAGGCAGCTCCTATTTATCATGCAACTGTAAAAGCTAGTAAGTTTGATAAAAATAAGTCTCCACAATAACAACATATAAATATCCTCCCTCCACAACATTCAATTTTGAAATAGGAGAAAACATTAATTTATCTATCTAAAGATGAAAAAAGATAAAGAGTTGAAGAAAACACATAAATATATTTTCATAAAAACAAGAAAGTTTTCTTGATTAGATGAGTAAATATTTTAAGATCTCAAACAAAAACTTCAATGTAACAATCGAAGTAAGTATCTTAAATAGTCCTCAGTAAGTGAATCTGCTCCACATTGGAGGACAATAGCTCCTAGTGCATCTCCACAACTTTCATTATGATCTGTAGGATAACAAGACAACTGCAAGACTACCAACACCATCAGGATATGCAATCAATAAAATCCACCGTTACACATATATTAATCAAAATATGATTAGGCAAAGGGTATTTAGTTTAACCAACCTATTTCTTCAGCAAAATATTGAGGAATATACAACAACTCTCTACTTATTTACATGATCAAATTCGTATGGAAAAGGAAATACCTTTGTAAAACCTAGGCAATCGATATCAAAACTAGTAAAGCTAACTTTATAATCTTTTATGTCTATCTTGCTCAATTGATTCCTGCAGATGGAGAGCAAGAAAGAAGATGAGACCTAATTTTGTTATGTGTTTGTGTTTGGAAAAATTCACACGAAAAAAGCAATACTGAGCAACGGAAAATATACAAACAACTATGTATGTGGAATATATTTTTTGTGAACATTAATCAAGAAACCAATAATACGTCCCTCAGTTGGGCCAAAAGTTTCTATTTTAAACATTCTACCCAAAATTTCAAAGTATTATTCAAAAAATTTTCAAAGAGTGTATGTTTTAAAAATTATGCCCAAATTTGGTTTGCTAATTGTTTTAAAATAATAACACAACTTTTATTTCACTCTTCTGGTTTGTATTGCAGAAGCAGACCGACTGATATATTATCATTCCAAAATTTCTTGTACGCGAGTCTAAAAAATTCAACAACCATTAGATGCAATCAAAAGTATCAGATTTCAGATTGGCATCCTTCCAAAATTTATATATGGAATAGCATCAAATCATTGTGCATATCCTGTATATTTTCATGGCAATGTCAATAAGACAATTCATTAAGAAGGTAGGAGAAATCTATGATAAATGAGCATTAATAGTTTGACCAACTATAAAATATTAGATAATTTTTTGTCTATCATAAGTGTGGTTGGGCGATCACATAATGCAAACTAAATATTGTATAAATTATTAAAAATAATATATGGAAAAACTTCTGTAAATATTAAGTCAAATGCTTTCATCAAGTGACTACGTCTCCAACCAAAAAACTGTCACCTATACATACTCAATTAAGAAAATTAATAAAATCACCTGCAATATTGCTGGCATCTACATCATACACCTGTCTGGCTCCAACCTGATTCTCCAATCCTAATTCTTCATATTTTAGAGCATATTAGAATTAGGGTTTCAAATAGAAAGAACACACATTTATTGTAGAAAACAGTTAGCAAATCACATATGTTTTAAAATTTGCCCTAAATTGAGCCATAAAAATGCTTCAAAGAGAAGTGTATTAACCTCTATCAATCTATAAATATGAACAATATTTGGAAAAAAAAACCTAACTAGTCAAAAAAAAAATATAAAAATAAATAAAAATAAGCAAATCCATACTTACAGGAAGAACTAGGTTTGGCATTTGAGGACGTCGGCGGGTAGCGACGGTTCGATGTTCACAGGTAAGGAAAGGAGCAGCAGAGCAAGGTCGACGACCGAGGAAGGTGGAGGCGGCGCGCGGTCCAGGGTTCCAGGATGGAGGAAAACGCGGAAAGTAAAGGAAGACGAAGAAGATCGAATAAGGCAAAGAAGGAAGAAGAAAGAAACAGAGATGTCGGGTGGGAGGGGCCGCATTAGAGAATTATATTTTAATTTGGTTGAAATTTTAATTTAATTTTAATTTAAATATTTAATTGAATTTTGTAATTTTAAATTTAAATAAATAATTATTTTAATTTTAATTTTACTTTGTATATATAAATATATAAGTATTATATTTAGTTTGAAATTTAAAATTAACATTATTGTAGTTGTAACGAAAAAATATCGTAACAAAAGAAAAAAAGTTGACCAAACCGAAAAAATTATTTGTTACGGAAATATTCAGAATAAAAAATAGCTTTTGTAAAGAAAATATTGTAGCGAATAAGATTTCGCTACAAATGGCCATTTTTTTTGTAGTGCCTGTTCATTTGTTTCAGAGAGATGCCATCTTTGCCACAGTCTTGGCGATTGGCAATCCTTTGAAGGTGGACCTTCTGACGGCCAAGCTTGGTAGGGCTTCCCATGCTCGAGCTTAGGTTGAAGTTGACATCTCTAAACGTGTGAAGAACTCTATTAACCTCGTCTTCAAAGGCAAGTTGATCCCTCAAAAGGTTGTTTCTGAAAATCTTGTAAAATATTGCAACCACTGCAAACATATTGGACACGATGATGAGCCATGTTTTGGTGTTGGGAAGTCTCCTGCTACAGCTAGGAATAAGCAGGGAAGCAACATTAATAATCCTCCATACATACAGAATGATCATTCTAGCTGTTGTAGCCTATTACCTCCAACAGGATGTTTAGAAAGGATGATGGGCATGAGAAGTCTTCCAAGGATAAGAGTAAGGGAATTTTTGAGGAGGATGATCTTAGATAGTACCTTTTTTATAAGAAAAGAAAGGTATTAATTCTGTCGAGGTCCATGTTCCCTCCTCTTTTCTTCTGGCAGAGCTAATGCTGGAGGTTCTCAGAAGGCAAACAACTTTTCCCTTGTTGATTGTGGTGCTGATGAGTAGGAAGGAAGGTATTATGGAAGCAGCAGCTTGGGACAGATAAGTAGACAAAGTATGGAGAGGAGAACCAGACGGGCACTAATGATGTGGTGGATGAACAGAGAGTATTTCTTGGTGGATTAGTATTTCATGTTGGGTGCTGGAGGATGCAATTCTGCTATTCCTCCATGCTTATTCCTCTGTTGGTGATAATTCGGGAGTTTTGAAGCTGATGAGTGTGATGGTTTGTGTAGGTTGCCGCGGGTTGAGTTCATCTTTGTAGTGTGACATATTTTGTGCATTGCATTGCATGCATGGATGTTTGGAAATTATGTTAAGTTTCTGCTTGATTGGAGGCCGTCTTGATGTTTTGGCTATTGGTAGGTGGCATTTTTCTCCTCTCTGGCTGCATGCTGCCATGGTGCTGCCGCTGCTGCATGAGAGTCAGTTCATTAGCCTCTTTGATCTTTTTTGAATTATCTGAATTGAGGGAGGAGTCTCAATGCATGCAGAGTTTGGTGGATTGGGCTTAGACGGCTGCAATGCAGCTTGATAGGCCTTATTGGGCCGTCTCAACCTTGGTGTGTGTATGGGGCTTCGCCCTTAATTTTTAATTTTCTTTTATTATGGTATAAAATTAAATTTCAATGCTAATAATAACAACAATGTGAACAGGTTACACCATGGCATGGCCGAAATACCATCATGAGTGATCGCAAGTCATTTATTACAGGTTCTCTCTCTCTCTTTCTTTCTTTCTTTCTTTTTTTTTTTTTTTTTTCCACAACATTTATTGGCCATGAATATACATGCATGAATCATACTTAAACAACTTATTCTATTCTTCTAGTCTCGGAATGGTCGGTAAAAGCTTGCATGCATTTTGAATCTTGTCGGCGCGAAATCGTTAATGTATCTATATGTATATATATATTGTATAAGAAAGAAGAAATTTCAATTTCACATTATAATTATTCTTAATTAATATATTTGGTTATAAACTTGAATTCTTAATCTTATCTTTAATCAAATTTCTTTTCTCGCCATGACGTCATCGTAGATTCACTTTTTTTTTTCAAAAAAACAAATATATATCACTATAATTTGATAAATATATATGATTATTACTTAATTTTAATCCCAATATTTTATTACGTATTCAATTACAAAATAATTTTTTACTCCACGAATATTTAGGCATATTTTTATTAAAAAAATGAAACAAAAATAAGCTTAATACATATAACAACTACTCAATATCTTATCTAAATAATTTATTTATTTTTAGATAAAACTTTAAAATATATATATTATATATATTGAAATAAAAAACACAAAAATATATCAATACATAGTTCATATTATTATGATTATTTTGATTAATGTAATAGATAAGTGTCATTAAATAAGTCATGTGGCATTTTCTGAAATTATTCATGATCTTCTTAATTGCCTATAAATAGGCTATGTGAAATAATATAAAAACAGGAGAATTTCATCTCTCGCGGCTCTTTCTCTATCTCTCCCTATAGATATATGTAATTTTATTATATACACAAGTACGGTTACATATCCTTGAACACATATATACGAGAAGCTGTACGAATGACTATTTGTTATTACATAAATGTCCTTAATAGTGTAATATTTGTTATTTTAAGCAGTTGTACGAAGTGGAAATATTGTAGGCAAGTATGACTAAATTTATCAATTAACCCTCACGTGTCAATTATACTGAGGATATTGGGTGTTGTTGAGGTTTGTGTTTTTCCAATTTGATTTTTTATTTTGTAGTGATTTACTTGTATAATATATTGATATTGATATCATTTTGTAGATCATAACATTCACTTTAATACAAAAATTTAGTTACAATATTTTAATGCTATGGTATATTAAGAAATGCATTTGAAACTAATGCAGGAGTTTTCGAGTTTGTTGGACACGCAAAACAAAAAATATTTGAGTCCGACTGGACGGTTGATCAATATATATATATCATTTTGTACAAGAATTAAATATTTAATTTAGCTAAAATTAAATATTTAAATAACACATAAATAATGCCTAAAAATATAAGTTAAGAAACACATCAATTAATTTAATTTGTGCACCAAAATAATTATAAAATATATTTAAAAATTAATAACTTAATAGTGTAGGAATTAATGGAAACAAATGGGAGAAAGTAAGAGTAAATGTGACCAAAGTAAATGCAGCAGTTGGAGGAGTCTGACGAATTTAATGCAGCCGATCAACCGTCGCTTGAATTCCGCACAGCAGCCAATCAGCCGTCACTTGAATTCCGTACAGCAGGGTCGGCCGTCGCTTGAATTCCGCACAACAGCCGACCAACCGTCGTTAGAATTCCGCACAGTAGCCTACTTCGCTTACTTCTATGCAGAAGTTTCCGCGTTGAGTAAGTGCAGCTGACCAGCTATAAATGTTTATGTTGGTTTCTGTGCAAAATTAATACAGCCGTCATTCAATTAATAATCATTGTACACGGATTTTTGTACTAATTAATACAAAATTGACATTTATTAAAAATTACATAATAAATATTTAATAAAATAAAATATACTCCCTCCGTCCAGCTACAAAGTATACATATTTCTATTTTGGGACGTCCAATTACAAAGAATCATTTCATTTAATACCCCATTTTTTTTCCACAAATACCCTTATTTTACATCACATCATTACTTTTATACAAAAAAGTAAGGGCAAAAATATCATTACACTACTTTTACATACCTACTATAATTAAAATACTATTATTTCTTAAACTCCACGCCAAAAGTAAATGTATACTTATTGCTTGGACGGAGGGAATATTATTTATTTAAAAATATTTATTACGCCAACATTAAATATTTAAATTATATTTTTTTATAATATTTAATTTAGCTAAAATTAAATATTTAAATAACACATAAATAATGCCTAAAAATATAATTTAAGAAACACATCAATTAATTTAATTTATATACCAAAATAATTATAAAATAATTAAAAATTAATAAATTAATATTTTATACACAAAATACAATAAATACAATTATTGAATTAAAAAAATATAAATTATACCAAAACTCGATATAAATAAATAATAAAATAAATAAAAATAAGCTATAAAATATTTCAAAATCAAAAGTTATCACTAACCAACTTTCCACTTGACAGCTGTCTTCAATCATTCCCATGCGAGGCCAACCGACTCCCCCATCCGATCAATTCGGTTTGCCACTTTTTTCATTATTTTCTTTCTTTATCTCATCTTTCCATCCGACCAATTCGGTCGGTCACTTTTGTTTTTTTTTTCTTTTTTTATTTTCTCTCTTTTCTCATTCTCTCTTGTTCAGTCAACGCTTCTTTTTTCTTTCTCATTTTCTCCCAAAAATATATTTATATAATTCATTTTCTTTCACTTTCATCCTCCGATCAATTCGGTCTGTCACTTTTTTTTTTCTTTCTCTCATCCTTCCATCCCACCAATTTGGTCTGCCACTTTTTTTTTTCTTTCTCTCATCCTTCCATCCGATCAATTCGGTCTGCCATTTTTTTATTTTATTTTCTTTATTCCTCTCATCCTTTTTCAATTCGGTCTGCCACTTCTTGTAGAGAATTATTTTTCTAATAATAAAACTAAAAAAAATATGATATAAAAAAGTATTTTGAAAAAAAAATAGATTTTTTAAAATTGGTTGGTTTCGCAGTTATAAAAAAAATTATATAATTCATTCTCTTTATTTCTCTCTTCTTTCCACCCGATAATTCAGTCAGTTACTTCTTTTTTGTTCAAAATATCTATAGTCATATGTTTTATTTATTTAAATTTATATATTCATATTCATATAATGTAATTTTTAAAATTTAATTAAAAATTTGAAACATATTAATATATATCATTTTATAAACAATAATTTAACTCATAAAACATATTAATATCAATAAAAATAAATCACAAAAAACATTCTATTAGAACAAAAAAAAGCCGCGCAGCATAGCCGCGCACATACGCAGGCCCGGCCCTGGGCCAGG